GCTTTCTTTGAAGCGCGTATGCGACAAAAAGTGGTAGAAAACGAGTAATACGAAGGATATAATGCTGTTATGTCATTTGATCGCTTCAACAACTGGTGCAGAAAGACTTTGGAACCGCGGAAAACGCAGCCGCACTGACCCGCCCCGACAGTCCGTAATGATGAGGAGTATATGACGTCGTCTTAGTAGTTTACATCCCTTTTGGAGTTTTCTTGTAGGTTGAAATAGTGTTTGAACGAAGGGTTTCCTGAATGCTTTTCGACTTTCCAGGTTCCGAAGAAGGCGACGACGCCGAAACGTCAACCGTTAATAAAGATATTTAACAATCTTGGCTACCAGCTTAATAATATCACATACTGTATGCAATAGAATCATGCCAAGATTCATCGAAAGTCGAACGTGGACACTGCAGTTTTAATAAGCAGCGTCTGGAATGATATTACTCTTGTAGGCTGCGCTGGGCGTGTTCGTGGGAATGGGATTGGCGTCGCAACAAACACATCTAGCCTTCCACTGTGTCTTCATACACGATGTTCGAGCGCAGTTTGTGAGAAGACACGGTCTCAAATGAAACATGCACATCATTTCCTGGAAATAGGGAGGGCGTGGCTGCGTACTTGATCTGAAGATGGCGTGGGATATGCTTCTTGTGAGACATTTCGATCTTAGGCAACTGTCCTCCTGTGATATGCTGGACAAAATCATGATTACATTTGCCTCAAAACGGCGATATCCTTTAACAACACTGCCGCCATGTAGCGGCTGCGTTTGGCGCGGTGCCAAAGTGCACCAGTTGTTGAAGCGGGCAAGTGACATTACTGTATTATATCCTTCGTATTACTCGTTTTCTACCACTTTTTGTCGCATACGCGTTTCAACAAAAAGGCTGAGAACGGCTTCAACAGTGTGCACACTCATACTGGCTGACACGCCCCACCGGTCCGCAATGATGAGGACTGTACACAGCCACGCCCTCCCCGTCTATAGGCATTCTCCCCGTTTATATGCAGTTTAAGAAGTTTGTAATACTGCCCAACACTACAAATTATATACTGCCACAAATTTAAGTACAGTGCAGTTCTCAGCGGACAGGCGGTCCCAAGACCACGCTGGCAAGCGGCCCGATGGTTGCCTGTTGGTGGAAAGCCGCAAAAACCTTGCCTCTGCCTCTCTGATACTGACTCTGCGCTCTAACACACGCCGCCGCACAATCTACTCACTCTTCCGTTCTGGACTCTCGCCGATCGATAATTGCTCTCATCAGCTGATTTCTGCCGCATTTTCGCTACATTCAGCTTGTTAAAGCTGAAATTTTTCGACTTTCGACCTCAGTTTTTGAAGGTGAGTATTCTTACTGAAATTATATCATTAAATTATTATAATTGTGAAAATCAGAAGGAAATACAAGTTTTCTAGGGGAATTTCATGCTAAATTCATGCAAAATGTGATATAATTTCAGTAAGAATACTCACCTTCGAATTGAAGTCAAAAGTCGAAAAATTTCAGCTTTAACAAGCTGAATCTAGCAAAAATACTGCGAAAATGCGGCAGGAATCAGCTGATCGAGAGCGTCAATTATCGATCGGTAGAGTCCCAGAGCGGAAGAGTGAGGTAGACGGTGCGGCGGCGCGCAGAGCCAGCATCAGAGACGGAGGCAATGGTGATAATCTCCTGAAACTTTTTGCCTCTCCATCGACACGCAATCATTGGGCTCGCCAGCGTGGTCGTAGGGACCGCCTCACCGTCCGGTGAGAGCTCCATTATAGTCTAGCTTGACTATCTTCAGCTAACCCTTCTTAGCTTGCCTCTACTGAATTCTACCCATGACTCAGCGCTAGTGTAACATATCGGGCCGTTTTGTAGTTCGTCGGATTACCGTAGTCGCAATTCAGCACCACGGATCTTTCCGAAGTGTTACTTTCGCTTCCACTATTCCTCGAATTTTGTTTGATGTTGGGCGTAGTCAGCGAGACAATTTTGAACTAGGTGATTAGGAAGGGGTACCTTGGAGTGGAACGCTTCCTCCTCTACCCTCAGTCAGAAACTTTTCCTGGCCTTTTACAGTGGAAGGAAAGCTAAAGCTAATCATTCGCTAGAACCCCTATGCATATGTAATTGAGACTATACTAAGGAGAATGGAATTACTGTAAGCTAGAATTTATTTTATCTATCAAGGAGCTCATTCCCTGCCCTATTCAGGTCTAGACAAGAAACCTAGTCCATCTCACGGTAATCCTAGATATTCACGATGAACCCTTTAAACCTCCTTCCTCTAGTACCTAGAGAGTCTTAGCGTCGGAAATTGTTCGCAGGCTAGGACAACCTCTCGCCAGTGCCTCCGTGCGGTGGGGATCCCCAGCGAGGGAGTCGTATCTGGTCGGTGGAGGGAGAGAGAGAGAAAGAGAGAGCTGTGATTGCCTTTGAGGAAAATGTTTTTAGTTGTTGACGTTTCTCGGCTTTTCCTGTTCAAGTAGCGCTGTACGACTCCCTTCGTCCCTCCCCCTTCGCCTAGCCCTCCTTCCTTCATGGTAGTTTTTGGAGAAAAACAGGGTAAACAGGTGAACTGCAGAAAGCCGGGGAGAAGTCACGAAGGTGGTAGGTAGGATTGTATCGGGAAGAGGTGAGGTGGTCGACGTGGCAGAGGAAGAAATTTTGAGGGAGAACTGTATTCTGCAGAAATTTTGCTCGAAGACAAGACGAGGTCTGTCCGTACCCCTCCTCTAACTAAGGCCTATGTTTAGTAGAGGCTGTGTCTTCTCTTTTGAAGTACACCTCGAAGACTCTGGTCGTCTGCGCTAGAGTCTCAACCTTTTTGGGGAAGGGATAGTGGAGCGCTCGCCAGTGTTCCACTCCAGTTACTCCAGCCTTTAAAGGCAGTCGGTTCCATGGTTTGGTAGTTGACCTAAAATGCTAGCAGAGCGCTATATAGTGGGGGAAATGGCGAAAAAACGAAGTGAAACGGTCAAAACCTGCGAAGAAAAGCCTTCGTTCTTAATGACTCAAAAAGCAATTTCGGACGAGTTTCCCGTAGGCATCTTGCCAATAACCGCTACGGTAGGTACGGCTGCACGTATGTACTCATATATCCATGCAGCACCGCAGCCGCTTCATACCAGTTCCTTCGCTTCATATTTCACTTAGCAAATGAAGCAATAAGAGCATGGAATGGTCGTTCATTTGTGGGTGCAGTGGCGTCCGGGTCGGTATGTTCTAATTTGATAGGACCTTCCAAGGGTACCTCTCTTAGAAAAGGGGCTACGCAGAGCCCACCCAGGGTAGCGGAATCCCTCCTGCCAGGCGCTTTAATCCTACTCGTCTCGAAGATTTATCCAACGTGCCAACTGCTTTTGAATCTCCCTACACTTCTTCGCAGACTTACCGATTTTTCTACTCACAAGCTCATCGCATGATGCGAACCGAATCGTTTCGTCTCAGGGCACATTGTCAACCGGAAAGCCTCTCCCCTCCTTCCTTTTTTCTCCTTCCTTCTTTTTCTTCCTTCCTTCTCTGATCCCTCCTCCTTTACCTTCCCCTTCAACTGCTGGACTGGTAGATGCCCCGTGAAATTAGCCCTGGACCCTCGCAGCGAGAGATCGTCTAGGTTGACATCTGCCCCGTAACCAACGATTAGATCTGAACGCGTGTTACGGACAGAGTTGCTGAATCGTCGTTTAGTCTGCAGTTGGCCCA